TGTAATTTTCATTGTTTTTAGGCCGGGCCGAAACGAGATGAGACGATGCTTGACTTCCGCCTTGAGTTCATCCCTTTTCCTTGGCACGCGAGCTGGAAGGAAGTGTCGTTTTTCAGCTAAGAAGGGCTTAACTTTTCCCTTTATGATGCGGCTCACGCCTGCCAACAAAAAAACCCGGAGAGAAAATCACAAACCACCGAGCCACAATTTCCGATTTTTTGGTGCGGTTAATTTCTGAGGTCTCAGCGCGGTTGGCATTAAAAATGTATATCGGGAATAATATTAATTTTAATGTCTGGCTGCCGCTAACGGCGAACCTAATTATGCCCGTGATAGGATTTTTGAGTTGGGTTCACAGCTCGTTGGGCACTTGCTCCTCCGATAAGGATGAACCCTTCCTAACCAGATTATTTACGGCCACCCTTTAAAATTGGCTTATTGGGGACACATTTTAATGCCGTGTTCGGTTCAATTCCTAATTTGGCTGAAAACATAAATCCATTAGCCGGCACTGCAGAGCACTTGGGTATAAAATATGCGAAAACTTGCAGACAGCGCAAGAAACGGTCAAGTTGAAAACTTTTCCCTCCTTTTTTTGGGCAGTCTGCAAACTAAATGAAAAAGTATTAATATATCCCTTTGCCGCTGGCTGCATGGCAAATGATTTTGCCCTGGGGATTTCCTAAATTTCTTAGCATTTCGCATACCCACAGCCACACAAAAGAAGCACTTATATAAATACGTGTGTATACAGCTTGTAAGTTTCGAAAGGAGCCAACAAAAAGACATCAAAATTCGTACCCTTTTCGGGAAAGGCGGCCAAATAAAAGTTGTAAATGCATATGGCATAAAAATAGAAGGAAGTCGGCGTGTTCTGGCAAACAATTTCGATACAGTTCACAAACTTGTTCGAACTGAAAATGGAACTTATCTCCTGGAAAACAACTCGATCTCGTTTGTTGTCTGCAAAAGTTTGAATTGTTCAATCGGAAAAACGAGAGGTCAAGAAAAGTTCTCCATCATTGTAAGGTATTTTGCAAATTCAAGCAGTTACGGTAACATTTTTTAAAAATAAACCACTATTGTTTTTAAGACAAGTCTATTTAATGGTAAAATAATAAAAATATTCTTCCCTGATAAACCCTGTTTATTGAAAAGGATTGAAGGATTATGAGGAAAACCATTGAACTTCACCTGCACCGATAAATAACTTTTAATCCCAGTTGAAAAGCATTTCATTTTAAATACCAAACTTTGGCCACCGCAAAAGCTCTTGACGGAACTCCTGCTGTTTTGGCCACAAGAAGAAATCTGTAATTGGAACATGGCCACCACAAAGCTGCCTCCGTTTTATTATCTTCGCTTCTCGGTCCGCGTATTTTATTTACTTTTATTTTTACTTTTATGCAAGGGTGCTGATGGTGTTTATGTTGTTGCCACTGGATGTTGCCGCTGTTCGCATATTGTCGTGTGTTTATTACAATGCAAAGTGCAGAAAAAAAGCAAACTAAAATGTGAAACCCCAAGGCAATATGATACCCATTATCTGCCAGTTGGGGGCGACAAACTCGAACCGCGGTGAAAAACGTTAGCGGGAAAAGTTTAAATAAATTTTATGTGGCTGGGCCATCGCTTCTCACCCTTTTTTATTTTCGCCTTTTTGTTGCGGCTCGCTGATGCTGGCGCATATGTTTAATCAGCAAAGTAAACCGACCCCAGAATGACCCGGCATCCAGTTAAATCTCACCTTCTCGCCGTCCACTGCGCCACGCCCCCAGCAAATAAAAGTTGGCCTTTTTTGACACAACCGCACAGACACACAGCGGCAGTTTTTGGTCTGGTGCTGGGGTTACAGTGCGTTTAAATGGTGTAATACTACTTTAAGGATAATCTCACGAATTTAATCGGGAGTTTATTGAAATCACTTGTAATGGTGTCCAAAAGTATGCTACAAAATGTTGTTATATTAAAAATTCTTATTTTTACTGCATACTTTTAGGCACCATTCTCAGGAATGGCATTCAAATGCCCTGATATTTTCTGTTACATAATTATATCCTGTAAGTAAACAAAAATCTGCAAATTCAAAGCGAATATTACTAAATTCGTATCATCTCTGACCGAAATATATTTCATAATAAATATAATTACCAAAATAATATGCAAATGAAATTCGATATCAAATGCAGAACTTACAAAGATTTGCTCATATATGCTAATTGGATCGTATAAAATCATTTCCTATTTTAATTGAAACTAGCAGGCTTCAATTTTCAGTTGATTGCACTCATTTGCTGTATCTTTCTTTATATGAAATACATAAATATGAAATTTAGTATCACTTAAATTTACATATATAAACACAGTTAATTTGCTAATCCGTTTGAGGCAAACCCAATTATGTTTTAATCAATCAACTTAGGCAATAAACTATTTAATTAATTTAATCAAGCCATTTCAGCCTTATTAAAAGGTAATCCGCACTGCCGGCTGTCAGATGTCGATGTCATACAGTTCCGAAACGGACTGCATAATTTTGACTGCAGCATAAAGTTGGTAAAGTCAATGACCAGTTAAGTCAACACTTTGCCTGCCTGCTGGTGTAAAAATTCTGGGGAGATGAGATGGTCTATATTGAAAACCCGGCCATCATCACCGGGCTCTCACATTTTAATATTACATTTTAAAGAACATAAAACTGCTGACACGACCGAGTCATATTTGCGTCCATGTGGCAGAAGCATATTTAAGGATTTTATTGCAACGCACCAGTGCAGCAACAAAGGAAAGCCCAAAATGCTGTGAAAAGTCCGACACCGCACAAAGAAAAGAAAAGTGGGGAAATAAATTTTCTTTTTTTAAGTTTTGTATACTGAAAAAAAGGGTTTACATGTTATTATAGTAAATACTATACCATTAGGAGAATGGTAAAAATTATTATTGCACCTATAATATGGGATATAATGGGATTTATAATGTATCTGAAACATTTCATAAAAACTAAAACTAAATTTATTGTTTCCAAAATTCACCCACTCTTTTCTTCCTGTGTACCCAAGAAGTGTTACGGCGGATAGCATAGGATATCGTTATGTATAGCCTGTTTGCTCTTTGCTACAATGTTGTTAAATTTTATGTTTCCACAGGTAATAGTAGTGGCGTCTTTCCAGGGAAACTCCATTCACCACCCACAACCCACAGCCCACCTGCTGAGCTCCTTGCAGCGGGTTTTTTGATTGATGTTGCTCCTTTTCCTCGACTTCCTTTCCTCACAATCAATTTAAATGCGCCTCTGTGCATTGTGGGGCTAAATGCGAAATGCGAAAATACTCGTTGGCCAAATCGCTGTGTGCGATGCAGCCATAAAACTGGATAACTGGGCCATATGCTGCTGCACAAACTTTTCCCGATGCAAAATGATGCAAGTTTCGCTTTCTGTGCTTTTGTTTTCCCAAGCTTCCCCACGTTTCCTAGTTTTCCACCAGATCATTTATCATTTTTATAGCCCCTCAATGGGACATTGGACTAATCTAACTGATACCATCGCTCCTTAATGGAGAAATAGTCAAACGATAAAGACATAAATCAATCAAGTTCTTGGGAAAATCGAGAGACGTGCGGACTTGATGTTCCACTGCAGCTTTTGGCCAGGCTACAAAAATAAGTCAAAGTCATTTTGTAATTTGGCAAAAAATCATTACTTTTTAGGTGAAACATTGCTCGAGCTCTAAAAGGTAGAAGCTTGAGTTTATTTTTCCCAAAGAGCCTCCGTACTTTAAGCTTTGTACATTCAAATATCTTATTTGACATACTTGATGAAGGTCCGTTCAAAGTTACTTTTTCGACCTAATCAGGTCGGAAATTGTCACAAAAAATTATCTTGTCAAAAAGTTAAGAACGTTATAATTAAAATCTGCAAATTACATTAATCCCTATCTAATTTTTCAAAGCTCATCCTTTATTTCCCCATTTGTTGCCAAAGCACCACTTAATAATCGTTTTTTAAGTAAGGCAATAAATACACGAATAATAAATTTACTACATATCTCGGCGTATTGGCTGACACTGATAAGGGTCCTCGACGAGCAAAGCTGACCAAATACTAATGTCGTTGCCCTTACAAAGAGTATTTTAGCACTTCAGCCATGAGCTACTAAATATATTTATTTCAAATATTTGACAGACAATTTCGCTTTGCACACAGACACATTCCTAGTTCAGTAATCGAACATTAAAATGTAGAACATTTTTCCAGGCCAAATATGAACACATTAAGCTGAAAATTCCTCGCAAAAAGGGACACGTTCTTCGAGCAACTTACAGTTCAAATCCATCGAGGATATTAAATAATTTAGAAAATGTAAACAAAATATGATGGGATAAATGTGTTATACGAAGTGCCAGTCGCAATTTGCCCTAATTCTTCTGCCACAGTGACCGCAAAGTTTTCGCCCATCAAAGTTTCTGTGTGCCACGCCCCCTTTTGGCCCACCGCCGCCCACTCGACTAACATGGCTGGCAGGCAATTGAAATACACGCAATTGAACAACAAATTGAATTATGCATTGCATATGCTTCTTGTTTTGTGTGCTGGTGTAGAGTAAACAAATTGATTTTGATTTGATTTATTTATCGACTCCCGTTGGTTCTCTTTTTTTATTCGCTCCCACATCCTCTGTTTCTATCTCTGTATCGCCATGTGCTTGTTTTTGGATTTTAGAAAAACTGAAAAAAATATTTGGTAAAAATATTTATGTGATATGTGATGATTTAATTTTTAAACATGAATAAAATTACATTATCAGATATTACACAAATTTTAAAGTATGTCTAAAAGTATGCAACAAAATGTGATTCTTCCATAAAGCCTCGTAAAAATGTTGCTGCCTATTTTTAGAAACCTTTTCAAATAATTTTCAATTCCTTATAAAATTGATTTTTAATTTTTTCCCAAAATATAATATTTAAAGTGTAATTTTTTGTTCTTTAATTTTTTTCAGTGGCGGAACACAATTTTGCGCTTGGCTAGCAAATGTTCGAGATGGACCCAAATGGATTCAGCGGGACGCAGGCGGCGGCAGCTGCCTAGAAATCCTGGAGTGCTCTACTCCATCGACACCGAAACAGAAACCCCCAACCTAAAACCAAAACCAAAACCGAAACCGAAACCGAGACCCTAAACTCGGAAAATAATGTGCTGCAGGAGTGGGCATTATTGAAGTTGACAACACTTCGGCAGACCGGGCTGAAAGCACAGGGTTAAAAGCAATCTCTCTTGGGGCAGCCGGAGGAGAACAATGGTCATCCAGTGCACATGTGATTGCAACTGCAGTGATAGTAGAGATAACCGGAGCATAATATCCTGCCTGCTCCCGGGTCGCAGTCAGCCGTACAAGTTCGGAGCCTCGTTCGGTGGCGATGATATGGAGCAGAGGATACCGTACTACCGGCGCCTATCGAATACCTCATCGGCGCTCTATGGCAGCTGTCCCCAGTTGTTGCCCAGTAGCAGTAGCACCACCAACCATCATTCCTGGCTGAGGATCCCCAAGAATTCCCAGGAGAATCCCTCGGAGAATCCCCAAGAGAACCCACGGCAGTACTCGAGTCTGGTGAGGCCCAAGCAACGCAGTCCCGTGCTGTGCAACAAATGTGCCCTGTGACGAAGATACAATCTGAGCTGTGAGCATCCCAAGGAAGCCACCGGGAAGCCGGGCAACACCGCCCAACAAAAACCGGACAAAGAGTCGTCGTCGAACCAGCGTTACTTGTGCCACGAGTGTCGTTTCAATAATCAGCCGCTGGCCTGGTGGGTCTCATGTCCCCGGCTCTCTTATTTGCCCGCTGAGCAAACGAAAATGCAGTCCACTGCCACGCCCACCCGCCACTGCCACGGTGGGGGAGTGGGAGTAGGTGGTGCCCCCCAAACCACCGGCACACCACCCACTCTGCCCCGATTTCCCAGCAAACGGCATTGTGACAATTTCGGCAGCTACGCCACATTGCCCACCATTGAGCAGCAGTTGACCATGCCAATGATGCCCCACTGCAGTCGACACGGTGGTGGTGCTGCTGCGGTAGTGGGTGGTGCTGGGGGGGCGGGTCCCGGTGTAATGCCCGCCCCACCACCGCCGCGCTATGCGAATCCCAATTTGAATGGCTGCTGCTACATGTACAATCCCATGCCCGCCGCCCATCAGAGCCATCACCTTCAGCACGGCCAGCATGGTCAGCATGGCCTGCACCACCCCCAACTGCCCCACCATCAGCATCAGCACCACCACCAGAATCAGCACCACCCCCACCAGTACGCCCCGCAATATTGCCTCTGCGATAATTGGTACCATCAGCCAGCGCCGCCGCAGCAACAGCACCACCAACAAAGGACTAAGAATCAGATGGCCAACGGCGGCTGCTATTTTGGTAAGTACTCTCATGGAAAATGTAAAGCAAGAAGCCATAAATTAGGTTCTAATTGAAAAAAGGAGAGCACTCTCTTCGGTGAAAATTTATTTGGTGAGGGGGGACCAAAAGCCAGTACTTAGGAACTCTTAAAAGTCCTGCACGAGCTTTAAGATTTTAAATTTTTGAAGGGACACCAATTTTAAAAGAATCTTGGGGAAATAATCTAAGCATATCTTAAATTTTCTTTAAAAGATCAATCTAGGCTATTAGCATATCAGTGAGATGTCAGTAGGGTTTCAAAATCACTTTAAAATGTCAGGTGTCTAAAAGTATGCAGTGATTAAGGGAAAGTCGCCTTAATGAATAAATTCATTGCCATTCTGAGCTCAACATATTATGGTGCATACTTTTAGACATAAGAAATAACATTTTAAAGTGATTCTAAAAAACTAGTGATTTTGTCTCATCCAGCATATATGTTTAAAGAAGGTCACTGATTTGTAATAGAAACAAATTCTTTTGGACAATTTCACTCTCGTGTACCGCGGTAAACCAGCCAATTTGTCCGCATTAAATCACCTGTCAATTGTTTTTCATTGTCCAGGCTACGAGGCGAGTCATCATCCCAATCTGCATGCCACGCCCCCCCATCCCAGCCATATAACTGACGAGGAGGACTCGGCGTTTCCCGGACTGGCCGATCGAGAGTTCCACCTGCTGCACCGGAATATTCCGGCACTGCGACGAACCGGAGTGGATACCACACGCATTAGACAGGTGAGGAATATATCAGAAAGAATGGCTATCTCACAGGACCTGTCAGGCAATAATTGCCAGCCTTTGTCCTGATACTTATACACTAAAAAAAAAGTATCAATTATTATCACAACTATATATAAACACGTATAAAAAATCCTATGTGGTTTCGATATAACTGATGTTCGAAATCCCTTATACAAATCTCTAAAAAACTAGATATTTATTTTACTTGAATATTAATTAATCATTATTAATACCCTCAACCTATACTTTTTTCCTGTTCAATTGCAGTACTTTTACCCCGACGGCGGCTGGGGCTGGATCATCTGTGGCGTGTCCTTTCTGGTCCACATCCTGACCACCGGGCTGCAGCTGAGCTACGGCCTTTTGTGGTTCTATGCCGTCCAGTATTTGCATAATACCAGTGGCATAGGTAAGTCATGGAAAAAAGGGGGTCCGGACAGGTAGAGTCGTTTGGCAAGGCAAGGTCCTTAATAGGAATGTGTAATCACAGTCATCGCAGCCTGTTGTTATCTGTCGGTCATTTTCTTGTTTTCCCTGCACATTTGTGGTGTTTTCAGTTTTCTGTTTTCTGTTTCGAGACCCCCCATCGAGTAATCAAAATGTTTGCCACTCTGTTTGTGCTGGAAATGCAAATGTTTGTGAATAATACATGTTTGTAGGTGTGGACTTTTGCATAAATTAAATTTGCACTTGACAGTGCGGACATAATTTAAGAATAGTGTGAATATTGTGTATTGCCAAAAGTGTTTACCAGTTTAGAGCCGACCATAAATCGTAAAAATAAAGTGTTAATATTGTGCCAGCGTGTGGAGTTCGTATTTCATTGCGATTCCTTTGTTTGTTTGCATATTTTAAGATTATAACAATATTTTGCTTTCCAATTAATTGGCTTTGTGTTTGTATCTGTATTTATAGCAGCGAAGGTTAGATATTGCTTAGATATATATATTAAAAATGGGTCTATGGTGTCATCGAAAGATAAATTACATATTGCCTTATTTTGGATATTTATTGTTTCGCTAAACTTTAAGCTGACGTACATGTTTCTCGGCTACATCTGATAACGCAATAAATATTTAGATGACAATTTACACAATTTGTACTGACTTCGGTTGTCATGTTTAAAACTCTTTACACGTGTTTTATTGTGGCCATTAATTCAGCAAACGACATTCTGTTATTAGGACTACAATTTGTTTAAAATTTCAATTAATAGTTACTTGTAGCAATGCATGTGCATACGTCAAAAACCATTAATGAATTAAATTGACTTATACACATTTTAGTCTGGGCAGCATTCCCTTTAAATGAGGTCCCCTAAAATTCTTGCTTCAAGACATTTTGAAATATTAACACCCAGGAACACACCTTCTCGCATAGGCCTAATGACCTTCGTCAAGTTGACTTTGCCGCTTTTGGAATATTATAACATTATCACTCAAGAGCTTAATTTCTCCTTACAGAACTGCTGGGCGCTTTGAGCTGGTCAGTTTCCATGGTGGCCACATCGTTTGTGGTGTCCCTCTGTCGCAAGCGCTCCATCCGCCTCCTGTCCATCGTGGGCGGCCTGGTGATGCCCCTGGGCATACTGTTCACCTCATTTGCCACGGAATTTGGCCAGGTTGTTTTCAGTTATGGTGCGTACAGTATGGTGATTATATAAATAAATAACCTGCCAGATGCCAGTCAGCCGGCACCGGAAGTTGCTTATCATTTGCACCCAAGCACTGGAAGAAAACTAACTTTTCTTATTCCGAATAAAATTCTTAAATCGGGAATAACATATTTTTGGTCATCTTCCATACACCAATGATTCCGGATTTAGAAGCTGTTTAAATACAATTTTAAGAGCTGTATAAGACAAGCTTCAAATTTCAGAGTTGATTGTGATTGTGTGAGCCTTGACACCTAGACAATGAATCATTTGGCACTTTAAAATTAAGTAAAAACATATATATAGCTTTGAGAAAATCATTTCAAGAGTGTAATGATCTTAAACATAATTAAATTAAATTTATTTGCCGAACTTTGAACTAGCACTATAGCTATTTAACTAATTAATCTGTCTAAAAGTATGCAACAGTATATTCTGAGTACATTCCCATTTTTACTGCCTACTTTTAGACACCTTTACTGAAATAACTATAATACACCCGTAAAACTTTCTCACAATGTACTCAAAACACCATTCAAAACACTTCCCCAGGCATCGTCTTCGGAGTGGGGGTCGCCATGGTGCGGGAGGCCTCCACCGTGATGCTGGGCAATTACTTTAAGCGGCGCCGTCAATTCGTCGAAATGGTGGCCATGTCCGGCGAGGGAGTTGGCATCGCTTTGTTCTCCGTCATCCTGAAGGAGGGCGTGGGCAAGGCGGGCTGGCGCCTGGGCCTCCAGATTGTCGCTGCCCTGACGGCACTCAGCTTTTTCATGGGTCTAATGTACCGACCCGCCTCCCTGTATCACCCACAGCGCCGGGCCATCCAGCATCTCAAAAATCAGCGCAAAAAGGTGGGAAGCCGTGTTGTGCGAAAGTTTTGGTTTTAATTTCCGACCCGACCCCATTTTCCAGATGAGGGAGAAGAAGCCGATTCTCAGCCAGGAGGTGGAGAGCAAGCCGAGATACTTATTCCTGGACATATCATCACTGAAGTCGGTGACTGTTAAAATTTTACTCATGACCTCCAGCGTGGCCTCCTTTGGCATTTATACACCCATGTTCCTAATGGTGAGTGCTTTTCCCCATTTATCTTATTTATCTTTTTGGGACTTGCTTTATCTTACCTAATTGCATTAGGTTAAAAGCATTTTATGAACTGTTACCTAATTTTTCAATATTATAATCTGGGTTTTATGTTATTTTAAAAATGTCAGTAATTTGAAATAATATAATTTATAAATGTTGTCATTCTAAATGAACTCATCGTTTTAAACAAACGCACACTTTTGGGCACCTTTTTGTGTGATTTAGATCCCTAGTGTTTTCTGTTTGCATCCGCTAATACTTACATATTTTATTTACGCCATTTATAATCTACTTTTTTACAGGCTCTCAATGCCGCCGAGCAGGGCTCTGATGTGCAGGAGTTGGTTCTTTTGCAAACATTTCTGGGAATTTCCATGGCCCTGGGTGTGGTCATAGCTGGAGCTTTGCTGAGACGTTGCTTTGTGATCAGGCACTTTGTGATCAATACGAAAATTGTCACACAGGTGGGCCAAATATTGAAAAGAAATCCCTGAACAGTACTTAATTGAATTTTACCCCCAGCTGTTCCTATCAATTGTGGCCCTGGCCATCCTATTTCTGTCCTTTGTCATGGGTTATACAGGCCTTTGTATACTAAGCTGGTTGTATGGCATTGGCCTGGGTGGTTTTCAATACTCCCTGAAGATTTTAGCACTCGAACGCATTAAGCTGAAACACTTCTCGAAGGCTTGGGGTGAGTCCGGGGCACTTTGAATATTTAAAATGTGGATTAAACTTTGGGTCCTGAACTTCCGCAGGCTTTATTCGGGGAGTCGAGTCAGTTCCTGTGCTGATAAGCGTTCCACTCACCTCGTTTCTGAACGATTACTCCCTTAAATACGGTCGAGCGGGCTATTACATATGCTCGGCGGCGGCTGCCATCTCGGGAATTATAATATTTTTCATAAGTGAGCCGCAGCAGCAGCAGCAGCAGTTGCAACATCATTATCAGCAGCGAAATGGCCATTTGCCGACTCCCATGCTGATACGCCACTCCTCCGCCCGCCAGCCCCGCCCCCATTTGCCGATGGACTACGGATATGGGGAGTACCCCGCCCCGCCCGATCTCCTCAGCCGGAGCTGCATTAGTCTCAATCAAATGGAGCCCTATCTGCAGACCAACTTCTGCCAAAGGCACATGTTGCAGCAGCAGCAACAGCAGCAGCAGCAACACTCCCACCTGCAGCAGTTGGCCTGTCACAATCTCGATTTGCAGCAGCAGCACCAGGTAATGTCTCACTGGGAGAAAAATTCGTAACAAGACTTGAAAATATCTAAAACCAAAAGTCTCTAGGATGTTAAAATCATTTAAAAGGTGTCTAAAAGTATGCAATAAGAAAAAAAGTCGCCTTTGATCTAATCGCAATTTCGCAATCAAAATATTTAGTTGCATACTTTTAGACAGTATAAAATGAATATTCCTTCTATTGTAAAATTGATTCATTTAACTAAGCACTAGTCTAAAGGTATGCAATAAAACATAAAAGCCATCTTTTAATATAATTCCCACGTTTTTCTGTGCGGAAAAAATATTGTATTGCATACTTTTAAACACCTTTATACTTTACATCCGTTTTTTCTTACCATCTATTCATTAAATATTTATAACTATTTTACTTGCAATATCCTATCCCTGTTAAGGGCCGACAAATATTTGATTTCTAATATTTTTTCACCGTTTAGGGACGTGGAGCCTACCAACTGGGCCAAGGGAGCATCGGGGCCAAGATGGGCAAGCGACTGCAGCGGAGTCTGTCCTTCATCCAGCAGCACAGCAACTGCTGCGATGGCCAAATGTACTGCAGCTGGCACAGCACCTACGAACTGGGCTGTCACAAGAGCAACAAGTGAGTAAAATAGATGGAAAGGGACTCCCACTCCTAATCACACCGGTGTGTGCAGTGAACCGGCTCCCTTTATATGCAATTGAATGGCAAATCAAAGTTCAGTTGGAAATTGTCTGACAATTTTACAAGTTAAGTAGCTATCGACAGCTTACATTGAATAAATGGGTAAAAGTCAAAGGGATTACAAATGCGCAGGGAAAATATTAAATCGAAGGTAGCGATACACAGTTGCCACAGGAATATCGCATGGGCTATCATGATGGCACAATTGCATCTGATGCATTTTAAAGACCTCAAAAAGCATTTGTTACAGTAATTTATACTGATCTTTCTCATTTTTGCGAGTTTAACAAGAATCCATTAAATAACCCATTATCAGAATTATCAGGGCCTTACATTTTTAAATTTATCTGAGAAGATGAAAGGAAAATACTACCATAAGTTACAAGTATTATTAATAATTGAAATGTTTGAATATTTTCGTTTTTAAATATGTGTGGTTTTTATTCTTACTCAAAAATACTACGGCTTATCGTTTCAAAAGTGAAGTAGCCAAAACGGAAGCCCACATCTCAATTGAATCGAAAACCAATTAAGAGATTTCCCGCCGAACCCAACAATCATTGGCAATCAGGCTAGAAGCCCTAGGAAGACAATCAATTTGGCGGCATCCTTCGCTGCTCATGCTGGCCGCAAATTTGCCATTTTGCCAATTTGCCACTTTGGCATTTACGATGCTGGGATACTGAGATACCCCCATACCATTTTACCGCATGCCGAAAACTGTGTTGACACACCGCCTAAACCCTGGAAATTGACTTGTCTTTTTGCAGGAACCCCGGATCGGCGGACCAGCAGCCATTGATATGCACCTGCAGCAGTCCGAACAGGAACCCAGTCACCTATGGAACACACGGCCCACCTGGACCCCATGGACCACCCAGCTCCACCCGCAGTCGCAGTGTTCCGGAGGGTTTATCCACGATGTCGCAGCAGTGTAACTGTCGTCAGCCTGCTGCCACTTTTCCGGCCCCCACGCGGGAGTTCATCTACGTGCCGCACGCCTATGCCTCCCTGCAAAGAACCCCCCATCGCCATAGCCAGGGGGCGGGTTCGGGGTCGGCATTGCGAAACAATCCACAATGCCGCCTGAAACGATCCCAGTCCCTCTGCCGACCCACTGCCGTTCAGTTTGTGGAGCAAATCACCACGTCTGTGTAAGAAAGTCGTGGGTGTGACAACGGCACTCGGAAAAAAGTGTAACGAGAGGCAGAAATATGTTAAACAGAATTTTAGGTCAAGTCGCTAACTGAAAATCTCTAGGCTCGAAAACAATATGCTTCAGAAAAAAGTCTTCGTTTATAGGGTAACTCTATGGAAGAGTCAAAATAAATCGTACCATACCTTTAGACACCTTTTTAAAATGATTACATATCTAACAATTTTATTCCTAACTCATTCAATTTATAGAAATATTTTTTTAAGAATTTGGTTTCCCTTTTCAACAATTTTATTTGAAATGTTTATTTTTATAAATGTTTCATTACCTTAAATCACATTTCTAAATGCTGTACATTTTTATTTCTCTAGAGGTTTTTCAAATTTCGTTACCTTTTTATTCCGAGTGTAATGCAAAACACAAAGACAACGCAGAAAATCGAACAGGCCCCGCAACAATTGGGTCCTATAAAACTTATATTTTGGTATGTTGGTCCCACCCACACACACGACTACGTGAACCGCATGCACAATTTGCCAGATCTCTTCTAGTCTTTTGTCGTAGTTCTATTAGAAATGTAAACTTAAAAACAGCAACCGAATGAAGTCGAAAGTGTAACTGAAATCCCACAACACCCAAACGAAAAACGAAACGCGATGAATTTTTCACAGGAAATCCACATTAAACTTTTACACACACGCATGCACTAAGCTAGGATGAAAATTTTACTCATTAGCATATTAATATATTATAGAGATTACAGACAGACGAAAAAGCTTTATCTTTGTCTCAAGCAAAAAGTATTCAACTTGTGGCCAGTGCATAAATATTTATGAGATAATTCAATTGGGCAGAGAACAGACGCAAACTGAAAACAAACAAACTTCTTAAATGGTCCATTTTATAACGTGCATACAATTTAACCACCGAAAACCGAAAACCGATTACCGATATATACTCGTACATGTAGACAGAGGAGAATGCGAATATGGACATGAAGTCGATCCAATTAAACGACTCTTTACCCCGGGGACAAGGCTGAGCTGTCCTGAGTGCCGAGTTTTTCGTGTCGGCCAAGTACTTTATTTTTCAATAACAATTATATATTGCATAATTAAGAGGCGTTTAATGGAGGACAACAGAAAGAGGCGAGCGAAATGTCGATGGAAATGAAAATGAAAATTACATTGGCCTTATTTTCCAATCGAAATGAGGCATATGAAAAAATAATTATTGCCATTATGATAGCCTGAATTAATTGAGAACTTCATTTCGGACATAACAAACGTTTTGTAATGGAAGTATTTTATTGGGCTGAGATTTTTGGGTGTTCAAGGTTATAAATATGTTTATATTTATGATCATCAGTTCTCTCACATTTATTTTCATTTTGATTCCAAGGCATCTAAAGTAATCCCCAGTAAATTACAAATATATGGCCTATGAAAAACAAAAGAAATACCCCACAAAGCCAATTTGTATATCATTAGTAATTCATTCCAATAAAGATCTGAATTTGTAAAAGAGCCAGGTACATAATCAGCTTAATAACAAGTCACATTACAACCAATTAAAAAAACAGTTCGATGAAGCCATGATACAGCAAACAAAATAAAGAAAGGGTCAGCTGCAAATAAACAGAATAAATTAAATATTTGAAAAGCTTAAAAAAGGCAAATAAACAAGAAAGGACAGCATAATAATACAGGAGTGATTGTCAGCGGGGGAAAACTTTCATAAAGTGAATATTAAAATAAACTAGTAAAATGGCAATCGAAAAATAAACAAAACCGGCAAAATGCCAAACAAATTTAAACAATATGTTAAAGGAAAACCCAATACAAATGGCTAACAAAACGGACAGCCAATTTATAAAAATTTACGAACAAATCGAATGGAAATACATTTACTAAAGACCATAAAAGAAGTAAAACGAATTTTCCGCATCTCACCTCCTTTGTGTATAAATTTCCATTGAAAATCTTTATAATGCACGAACAAAAGGACTTAAGTCAAAACCAACTGCCAAGAAACGCAATAAAGAAACGTTTGCATATGTTTAAATGAGTCTATAAAATTCTTGGAGAAATTCTTCGCTCCCTTACGGTCATTAAAATAAATTAGATATATATATAACTTTCGCCTCCAACTCCTTTTTCGCCAATTGTGTTCAGCGAAAACGAAACACTTAGCATAAAATAATATTACACCCTCAAGCATATCTATGTGCCAAAAAAGAAATCATAAAATAAAACCATAAACTATTTGCAATTTTGCCGAAATAACACAAAAGGAACTAACCAACTTAAGGTACAACTTGTAGCTAAAACAATTTTTATCTGATGGAATTTAGATACGTGAAATTTTTCAGAGAAAAACCTAAGCGCAAAAACTCATATTTGTAACTCTTTATCATTAGTAGTTTAGTGTGATAAATGTTAATAAAGAAAGCATAAACGGAAACCCTGCCAATTCTATTCAATTTGTGTCTTGACTTTGCAGCCTGGCGACCCAAAATGTCGGGTAAGTTGAACGTTTTAACCCCAAAATCAGACAGGATTTGTGCGGTGGCCATAATAAACTTTTCATTTATTACGTGCTAAAATTTAATAAACAGGTTCAACAGCGCCACAGTGTGAATGTCATATTTCACTTATTAATTAATGGCATTAACATAAAGCGTCAATTTGTGCGGCATCGGGATCGGGATTGGGATCCGGATCTCATTCCGCATCCCATCCCGTCCATAAAAGAGGCAGCACTCTAAAGCCGGGGCGATTAAAAAGTTTACCCTAGCCAAAGTCAAGACCGGCCCTTAATGTTGCATATATTGCGGGCACATAGCCCCGGGGTCCCCATTACTGAACGTGCCTAGACTGTAAACAGTCGACCGGGGGACTCGCAGACACACTCGGCACATATATGATGGCACATATAGCGTATAGCACATACCATGCGGCATTCGGCACTCAGCACACAGCTGAGCGTCAATGACATGCTCAATTTTTCATGCATTATGCCGGGGCGTCGGGGCCACAGTGCGTATGCTTGATATTTGCCTTAATATCAGGCCGAAAGCACATTTAAGTCGCCGAGCAGGAAAGCCGGAATATTTGCGTGGTAAGCGCTGCGAGGGCGAGAAACTTCACAGGGCCCATCAGACAATTTGCAGCTAGCTTACTGAGGTGCACTAAGAAAAAAGATGTCTCCTGTCGACGGTAAATAAAATCCATAATATAAGGTTTGGATTCTTTTGTTATTTCATTTAGTTCATATTTGTTCATTTTCATGTTCATTTTTCATTTTTATTTATATTTATTTTTATGGAAGAAGCCATTAGGTTTTAAACACCAAGAAAAATATATTGTGCATTCTTAGTCATCATCAAACAAATTGCAGAATCACAGTGATCAATATTAGCTCTATTGTATTATTTTGTTTAATAACAAGAACATATTGTATGTTTTGTGTTTATGTTTGAGTGTCTCCCTGAAAAATATACGTATAATTTTGGCAAAAATTAAAAAATTCGTGAATTTGTTATTTTTGGGATGTGTTGCCTGAGACAACAAATCTCATGCTTTTTGATAACCTTGTAAAAAAACAAACTATGGAAAAATGTGTTAGTATTATTCTTTTTAAAGTATACGTATTTTTCCGCAAGCCAAAAACATTTATAGGTCTGAAAGCACGTGTATTGTAAAAAAAAGATAAAGTTGACTTAAAACATTTCTCACAAAACGTTTTATTTTTGATTTATTACCCTTTTGGGTTGTTTAAATCATTTTGTATTGATGTATAAGAAAATGTTTCAAATTCTTTTATAGAAAAATTCTTTAAAATAAACTAAGAAAAATGGCTGATCCGATAATTGGAATGTTTTTCTTCCGGTGTAGGCCAACTCATACATATGCACGCCTTGATACACATACTAGAATTTTGGTTTCGGGGATATAGGCTCAAGCTGGGGATGATTTCGTTGCCTTCGAAAGTGTGGACTCTGAGCAAACACCGTGGAACGGAAACTATCGTCGTCTATATTGAGGAAATGGTTGGGGCTTTTCGGTCTGGGCATTTCGGGTTACATAACTGATTAAAGATTGGCCTAGCTTATGGGGATATACTCGTACAGATGTGGTGGGCGAGATTGGACCAGTGTGTAACCTCTCGTGTCAACTTGTTGACTAAGCAAAGTCAGCCAGCCCGATATGAGTTATGATTTACTCAGCTCTTAGGCAGGGAAAACAATGATGATGGGAAATTGCCTTTCACTGCCTCATATTCTTATAATGTTGCCAAAAAAAATATTACGTAGGTCATTGTGACTATCTATCATTATCAAATATTCTATAAATCTGCGATGCGTATATCTTTCCTGCCCTAAAAGGCCTGCAATAAGTCAATATGGTATAACAAAACCAATACAGTGAAATTTTAAAATAATTATTTTATTTATTTTTACTTCTGCACACGGCTATAGGTAGCCTTGATGTTGCTGAAGCTCATTTTTTAGATTCCAAATTTGGTCTCGAAGGGTTTTATGTTCCCTGAAATTATTGCGTAGCTCCTCTAGTGCTGCCCTCAGTCTCCCGAAACTCTAATTTACCTCATCACAATCCGCAGCTATACTATAATACGAGCTTCAACATTTAAAACTTATTTACTTGGGATTAAATTAGGATTGGAATGACAACTGAGAAAATATAGCTCTGCCCGTCTGCTTTTATAGGTGGCAGCGACGTCTAATCATTTACATAATAATCATATTCGGAATCTAGACCAAGATCTATATCCGGGTTCACACCAGATAACCCTGGTGTGAGACATAAGTGGCTAAGGGTTCTGCTGTTCGAAGAGTCTTTGTAAGATAAGGCAAATAATACAAGTGAAAATTTAATTATTAACTTTTTGGAACTCCAAACAGGAAATAGGCTGACAATAGAAATATATTGAACATGCTAGCAAAATGATTATAAAATTCCGGTTATTTCGTTGGAAACAAATATGTCAATAAACAGAAAGCATTTTAATTTTTTTCTTTAGTTTTTTTTTACAATCTAAAATATTTTTTTTTAATTATTTATCTAAATTTAAAATGATTAATCCAGAAAGGAAAAGATAATTGATAATTGAAGTGCGAGAGTAAGCTTTAATGTAAGGGAGATTTAAAAGACATCTTAAAGATTATCACTGCCCTAAAGAACCACAATTTCGGCTTGGACATTTCCCCTTCCGCAAAATGAATCGTCAAACGTTTTATATGTGTCCTAATGCCATAAAACAGACCTAAATTCGTGGTTTGCCGTAGCTGTTGTAATTTTGTTATGACCTCTACCCCCTAATTCCCATCCCGAAAGTGTGCCAAAGGAAATTTCTGAGTAATTTAGTGAAATGCTGCAGCGGCAGCTTTGTTTGGCTTTGTTCTTTCATTTTGTGACAGATATCTCAAGCAAATTAACCTAACTACTCTTAATGCCGGAGTACAACGCTTCCGCACTCACACACAAAAACCAATTAAATTCTTCCGCAGAGGCATGAAAGCTTCGTTGCTTCGATTAAAGCTTTCCCGAGTGTGATGAGAAGGAGGTGCACAGAGAAAATGTAATACCATGTTTATAAGGCTTATGCATATATAATAGCCATTATTCTAATAACTATTATTCAGACTTCACCAAAACCATGTATTTTTATATTTGTTCTTAAATTTTTAGAAATAGTATATCTCTCAAACTTAATTAATCTTTTTTTTGCTAATTATAATATAAATTATATGCTCGCATAAATTGTAAATCATTTATGTTCGATACACATATTAAATATTCATTATATTATAATATAAGGTTGACAAAATACCTTAAATTCATTCTGTGGAAATATTTTTTTTGGCTTTTAGAACTAAAATATGTGGAATATTCCTGCTGAATATATTTCAAAGATTCAAAAAACGCAGTCAAATAAACAAGAGATGCTGATTAATATTATACAAACTTTAATCAGATGGCGAAAACAGGTTACAAAAGTTGAAAAGTAAAGTAAAAGGTCGAGTGCTCTCATTTTGCAACCGTGTACATTTTGTTAGACATGTTTTTGCCTTAAAGACAGACATGGAAGCCGTGTGAAGTCGACTATTGTGGACGCCTCGAACGCGTTCTAAGTGAAATTTAGCCGTTGGCTACGTGACGATGCTGCTGTTCCTGGTATTTCTGCTGTTTCTGCTCCCGAAATAGCTGCATGGGGCATGGGGATGTGGCGATGGCGATGGCTATGGCATGTCCTGGCAGTCATGTCCTGGCCGACTGTCTGCCTTGTTGACATACGTCCTGCTGCCTTTTTGCCCAGATGCTGTGCGCAAACGCATGCTTTTACTGCCTACTTCCAGCCGCTTTCATTGTTGCGCTTTTGCAGTCGCAGAATCCCCGAATCCCCCGAAAAGCCAGGAATACCCACCAGCCCCCCGAAAACGCACGAGATGCCGAACATCTGTTTTATGTTTGCCTCGCTTCCAGGAAAACTCTCTTAAATTCTGGTGTGTGAAAAACTCTGGCTCTCTCGGTGCGTCGGAAAATGCGAATGCTGCCTGAGCTTCAGCAGTTCCAGCATCAGCGCCGTCGAGTGAGGAGCGTCCTTTGGAGACCGGAAAATCCGTGAAAACTGTCGGGTTACTCAAGCCACGCAGCACACACACACACCCCAGCCGAAAAAAGAAGGAACGGAGAAAATCCCTGTGAAAAGCAGCCAACTCAGCAAAATTTAAGAACAATTAATGGAAATGCCAAGCCAACTCCGCGGGAAAACGGACGCAAATTAAAAACCGTAAAAAGCCCCAGCGAAAAACGTCCACTCTGCGTTTTTCCTACGGCTTTTCCCATCGCTTTTTTGGCCAGCGCAAATATCGATTGCTGGCTGCCTTGCATAAGTCCACGAAGATTAGTATACAAACGCAGAGCAGTCGAAACCGTCTGGAAAAGCAATTCAAATGACAACGAACAACAGGCCCTACTCGTAGTAATTAAGTTTTTTAATCACCAATATTGGAGTCACCATGGAGCAGCTAAAGTCGGGGATTTCAAAGCCTGGCCCAGACAATTGACACGGAAAAAGACGAAGACTTGCCAGGATATATATAGAAGTTGATTGTACCCAACAGCGTGTGTGTGTGTGTTTGCCCCTGTTTCGCTTTTATTTTCCTTTCCATTTTATTTCCTTTGTTGGCTGTTTGAAAATGGATATTGCCTTGCGTGGCACAAACACAGCATCATCAACATCAACGACTGGAACTGGTGAGTCCTTGGGATCCCCGGCCCAGAGGCGCATAATCGCATCTTTTATTCCGCTGGCAAGTGAAACAACGACCTTTTCACTTACAGGTCTGCATCATGCTGTGTCACTGGGCAACATTGAGGTCTCCACCAAGGTTCGTACTCAAGAACACCTCTCCGAAAAACGCAAGCCACAAAACACCA